GTCACTCCTGGTTATGAAACGAAGCATGGTTCACACTCTGTAAGTACTTTATCCAGTGGACTGCTTAAGTGGGGGCAGATATGTAACTATATGAACAGGTTCTTTATCACATGGAAAGTAAAGGATGAAAATGAAGATAATTCTATTTCTGATGCGGCTAGTTGCAACACAATTTGCAAGTGCTGTGCGTTAGGCTGTGATATGGAATTAGAGGTGCGGCACATGACCGAATCCAATTGGCTTTATCTATCCAAGTTGTCTGAGGGCACGGTGGAGAATTTTCATGATCAAAGAGACACTTCAGCCAGTTCGAAGGAGCCGACCATGGAGAATGCGAGTAGATGTTTGAAGTATGCCAGCTCGTCGGCTAGAAAAGCATTAGTGCTGTTGAAATTGATTCCAGTTGCTGCAAGAAAAAGCCTTCCTGTACTGGTCAATCAAAAAGGGCTGCTTCTAAGTATTCCAGTACGTATACATTTTACAACTACATGATAAACTGCAAACTACATGTTCAAAGGGATTGGATCCCTCCAATTCAATAGAATTGGAAAAGATCCAGTCCTTGACTTGTGCCTTAGAACAATTTAGACTGCCTAATTCATATATCATCAATTGTTCTGAAAAGTAGAACTAGAGAGAGATTAGAGGAATTGCATTAATGTGAGCGATCATATTAAAGAAGAAACACCATTACCATGTTCCAAGTTCCTAACTTACACATTCTGAACTTTATAATTGGTAGTTTTTCAAACATATCTATCATTCTGATATCCTTTCCTTTGTCTGGTGGTTCTTTCAGAGCATCAAGTTCAGCCATTGTCCATGGTTGATGGCATCTGCGGAGTTCAAACCACGGGTACCATTCGGTGGAGGTCATAGTTCATTCATGTAAGTAGATGCCAGTTTCTGCACACAAGCTCGACCATTCCACGAACGAATGGCCAAAGCTTGCATAGCATTCGCATTGAAAAAGGGTAACTGTAACTCATGCGATGCTGTAACTAGCGGTTGAAAACTAAGGGCATATTTGATATTGTCTTTTTTTTTAACTGTCTTGAATTAAGTGTTCTAATTTTTCAGTTTGTTTTTTAAAATTGAAAATCAGGGTATGTAGTAATAATTATGCTTGCTAAACTAACATTTCAAGAATTATATGGTTAACAAATAAGAGCTCAGCAATAAAATTCAATGAAATTTCTCATCCATTTAAAATTGAAAATCCAAATAATTAAGAGCCATCAATAAAATAAGGGGAAAAAGAACCAAAATTGTATGTACCAAAAAGTTCAAGCACAACATAAAATATTAAAAAACATGATTTCATTCAATAATCGAAAAGGGATACTTGATATTAAAATAAAACTACTAAAATGGTCATCCCAATCCTCTTTTTTTTTTTCAAATTAAATAACAAATAAATAAATAAAAGATTCTTGTATATAAATGCTACCGTGGCCACCCTTACTTCCTATCATCCATTCGACTCTAATTTAATTTAATTTTTTGAGAGCCTCAAAAAAGCGTCCAGAAATCCGAAAATGATAAAATTTGTGGATAAGAATCTCTAATGGATTTCACAACACAAACTTTGGCCACTAGAAAACAACACTGCCTCGTCTACATGGAGCGGCTGCTCCTGGTGCTTGCCTTTCATGCAACTTCCATCCATGCAAATACACCACCGTCGTCCGCTCCTCCTTTTGCAGCTGCACATCTGAAGCGGTACATCCTCATCTTCTTTAGCTCCTTAATTGAACAATTCAATTATGACCCACTTCCCAGATCCTAGACGGGTGTGTTTTGAATTTACTTCCTGGTGTTTTTGGTCATCAATTTGATTGAACTGGATACAGATTCTCTGTTGGGGGTTTTGAATTTAACTTTTGGATACGTGTTTTTTTGAAGAATTTGGCTGGAGATGGGAGAATTTGAACTGAATTGGATTTTGATTTTAATTCATTTGGATATAAACAAATCCCATTTGGGATTCGGTTGCTTTGCACTTGGTTCTTGATTTTCTTTGGTGTTTTATCTGTAGATTTCATATTGGACGTGCTTCTTCTCCAGTCATCTTCACATATCCAGAGGCAGTGAAAGACAATGTTGTAATATGTTGGGATTTGGTGGGTATTGATTTTCTTTGAGGCTAGTTTGACGAGTAGGATCGAGCAGAACTCGGGGAGTCTGATCCAGCAAAAACTTGAGAGTTTTCATGGGTGTTCATAAAGAGGGAACGATAACAAGCAAAAATCTCTCTCAAGCATCACCAAAAATGGTATTGTAGCAGACACTTGAATTGTTGTGATGTTTTATTAGCTATAAGTATGACTAACTGTCAATGATAGAACAAATTGTTGTGCATTTCATTGTCTTGACCGTATAATCATCATGTTCACTGCCTTAACATCTGCTTGGTTGGCTATGCATGCTAAATCAGATGCTTCTTTTAGTAAACTTGGTCCTTCCATCTGATTTACACAACAAATTGCTAGATTATATGAACATTATGTCTAGAGAACACTTCAGAAAAAACATTTCAAAGGGCTTTCTGGAAATGCATTCAATGGATGTTTTCCTCATATTTCACTCAATAGTGCTTTCTAAGCACATCTGTAGTCATCCTTAGAGACCTGGACCTTATTTTTACTATATTATGAACACAGGGTCATAGTATCCTTTAGTTTGTTGAAATTTGTACTTTTGAACTTTGTAGGAATCATATCTCCACAAGAACCAAGTAAAGTTAGTTTCAACTCCAGTCAATTTGCAAATTCAATCCCATTGTCTTCTCTGTTTGGGTAACAAAAGTTGCCGAATAGTACGTTCAAGAACGAAGCTAATGAACATCTTGGTTGAAAAGGGGAAACCTCAAGAAGCTCAATTCATTTTCGATAGTTTAGTTGAACAAGGACACAGGCCAACTACTGTGACATACACAGCTCTTGTAGCTGCTTTGACTCGACAGAAGCATTTCAAGGCCATTTCCAGACTTCTTTTGGAAATGGAAAAAAATGACATTAAACCTGATTCCATACTCTTCAATGCCATAATCAATGCCTTTTCTGAATCTGGCAATTTAAAAGAGGCCATGGAAACTTGTCAGAAAATGAAGGAAAGTGGATGTAAGCCAACAACTAGCACTTTTAATACCCTCATCAAAGGCTATGGAATTGCTCGTAAACCCGAAGAATCTATGAAGTTATTAGATTTGATGATGAGGACGACAAAACTGAAACCCAATAACCGGACTTATAATATCCTTGTTGGAGCTTGGTGTAAGAAGAACAATATAAAGGAGGCATGGAATGTAGTGCAGAAGATGATTGCATCTGGAGTTCAACCTGATGTTGTCACATATAATACACTGGCAAAGGCATATGCTCAGGATGGGAAGACTAGCGAGGCAGAAAGTATAATAGAGGAGATGCATCATAACAAGGTAAATCCCAACGAGAGAACGTGCGGAATAATTGTAAGTGGTTATTGCGAACAGGGGAACTTGGTCGAGGCTCTGAGGGTCGTCTATCGAATGAAGGAACTCAGAATACTCCCAAACCTTGTTATTTTCAACTCTCTTATCAAGGGGTTCCTAGATATCGAGGATTCCGATGGAGTTGATGAGGTACAATATTTCATCTTTTCATCGTTCATTTTTCGCATCTATTTCGTGTGATTATCGAATTCCCACCGTGTTGGCAAACTTTCTTCATCATTATTTCTTCTGAAGTGTTGATTGATCACATGGATAATGAATATAAAACTTGAGCAGGCATTGACAATGATGGAAGATTTTGGGATAAAACCAGATGTGATAACATTTAGCACCATTATGAATGGTTGGAGTTCAGCTGGACGTATGGACAAATGCCAAGAAATCTTTGATGACATGGTGAAATCTGGCATTGAACCTGACATCCATGCTTTCAGTATTCTTGCAAAAGGGTTTGTCCGTGCTGGCGAGCCTGCTAAGGCCGAGTCCCTGCTGAACTCCATGAGCAAATACGGGGTGAGACCGAATGTCGTGATTTTCACAACTATCATTAGCGGTTGGTGCACTACAGGTAAAATGGAGAAAGCATGGAGGGCTTTTGAGCGTATGTGTGACATGAATGTCTCCCCCAATTTGAAAACTTTTGAGACTTTAATATGGGGCTATGGAGAAGCAAAACAGCCATGGAGAGCAGAAGACATCCTTCACATTATGGAAGAAAAGGGTGTTGTTCCTCAAGACAGCACTCTCAAGCTCGTTTCTGAAGCTTGGCGCTCAATTGGTATGGATAAAGAAGCCATCGCGGAGCGAATGGAAGGCAATGATACTCCAGAGAAGAGTTCAGATGATCTCCTCCAACCAGGGTTAGTAATCATATCCAATGGAAATGGATCTTCTTATTCTCAAACAAGAAGCAGGACACTCCCAAAAGGAATAGAAGTTCCATCTGGAAGTCCACGGAGCACCTCTACGTCGATGCTCGTTTGTCGGGCACGTCGCTTTCGTCCACTAATTGTATGCAGAAACCAGAACCATACCCAGTTGTGGATATGGAGGCAGCATACCACTACACCTTGCAGAATGATTTACATCCATTAGCGACTATGAGGAGACGACCAGCTGTTACATGAATTCGATTTGAGAAAGTTGATGAAGAGTGATCATGCTTGCTAACTGAAACTATAAATGGCCAAGCATTACAACTACTTGTTCATTTTTGCTTTGTTAGGATCACTGTGTAATTCATATAAATGATGTAAATTCATTGTTGAGGACCAAAACCCAAACTACATAACCATGTAAATTGCTATCCTGATATATATCTTCCACTTCCTACATTGTTATTCGAATTCTCAAGAGCACAGGGAAATCTGGAGTTGATTTTGTGTATTACCTATTATGAACTCGTGTCAAGAACTTCCAAAAAAAACCCTTTATTGGGGTGTTAAGATAATGTAGATTTGAATCTTAAGTTATTACTCTAAAATCTATTGGAGAAGTGTTTTTCTAATAAAAGTTCCAAACTTTCCAATCTTTCCAATCTTTTTATGGTGTTTAGAAAGATCAATATATTCACATCTAATCCGCTCCGTCTACGAAGAAAAACATTCCCAATTGAAACCCCAACAACTTGAAATTCATCACAGAGGCGCAATTCTGCCAGAGGATGCTATCTCTTCATCTCCTCTCGTCAGTATCTTCTTTTGACAACCCTTCCCTACAACGTGCGCGCCTCTCAAAACCCGGTATCAGTTCTAATCCCCCAATTCATTCAAATGCCATTTCCCCAAAATTCGCACATGCCCACTTCGCCAATCGCTCTATTTCCCCTTCTGTAACTCTCAGTCAATTGCGTATTCAATCCCGAAGCAGTAGTTTTCTACCCTTTAAGCCTCCAAACGATGGAGCCCACTGGAAGAGGGGTTACTGTAGTGCTGTTAATGACTCTGACGAGAAAACTAGGTCAGTTTTGGACTCCGGTGGCGGCGGTGATGGAGGTGAAGGAGGCGATGGAAGTGATGATAATGGGAAGGTGGATAAGCAAAAGGGTTCTTCCGGGTTTCTGCCAGAATGGTTGAATTTAACTTCGGACGACGCCAAAACGGTCCTTGCAGCCATTGCAATATCTCTTGCCTTCAGGACATTTATTGCAGAACCGAGGTACATTCCGTCGCTATCAATGTATCCTACCTTTGATGTTGGGGATCGACTTGTAGCAGAGAAGGTAGAAATCTTGTTCATTGTTCTTAATCGTATTATTCAACTGTTCTTCACGGTTATTAGAAAAACTTTTACAGATTGGGATATGATATTCATAGTTAAAATTGCCTGAATCCCAAGTTCTTGGATTCAACTAAGCTTTGAAATAAAGGGATAAGATCTATGATTTCTATTCTGTGTATGAAATTTCTGGTGTTGTGGATCATGATTCTTGTTTCTTTTCAGGTCACTTACTATTTCAGAAAGCCTTGTGCTAACGATATCGTGATATTTAAAAGCCCACCAGTGCTTCAGGAAGTAGGATATACAGATGAAGATGTCTTCATTAAAAGAGTTGTTGCTAAAGGAGGTGATACTGTGGAGGTCAGATTTTCTAACGAAACCTTTTTTGTTTGTATCATTATCTGATATGTGTAATGGAGCCATTGATTTAGATCATCAAGAACAGATATCTACCTGTTTTTCAATGATATCAAGTAATCAGAAGATCTAATTTTCTTGCACAACTTTACTTAAAAGTTTTATGGTCATAATCTCCCGCTTTCATTTGTGTTTTCGAGCTCAAGAAACAGCTTCACTCTTCACTTCGAACATTCACTGATTGCAGGTCCGGAAGGGAAAACTTATAGTTAATGGGGTCGAGAGAGATGAAAAGTTTGTCCTTGAACCACCATCATATGACATGAGTCCGGTTGTAAGTAGTTCTTTCTGTTTTCTGGTTCGGTTTCGCATCTTTCTAAGATTTTCCTACCAAAATTATGAACACGCAAGAATTGAGTACAAGCTGTGACCGTTTTTCTTTTTGGTTGAATGAAGAGAGATTGCTTTTCCTTCACTTTGTGAAATCTATATCAAGCATGGTTAAACATTACACCTCTTTCATTCCTATTTTGATGCAGCAAGTGCCAGAAAACTCGGTGTTTGTGATGGGCGATAATCGCAATAACAGCTATGATTCTCATGTGTGGTAAAGTCTTCACTCATCACTTCACTAATACTGGGTTTAAGATGACTTTAAAAAGATGTGTATTTAAGTAAAAGACTTTTGTTCAAATAACCAACGATCTTGACACATTCTACCATTCTAGACTTCAATGTGCTTGTCTTGAGTTTTTTTCTTCCTTACGCTGATAGCTAGCTACTACCTATACCAAATTGTTCAGGGGTCCACTGCCAGCCAAAAATATAATAGGAAGATCATTATTCCGCTATTGGCCTCCGAACAGGATTGGTGGAACCGTTATCGAGCCTAGCTGTGCTACTGATAAACAAGAGGGCACTCCTTCCACACCAGAGATTTCCAGCCAACAGACCACAAATTCACAACCGTAACAGTTTCGGTCATGTTCTTTGTTCTGCAAATGCCGTATCTCCCCTGTAATTTTGAAGCTCTTTTTTGTTGAATGAACTGGGCATTTTGTGCAAGGCCTTATTCACTGTTGATCTTGGTTTATGCAAGTTACTATAGATGACTCAATGTTGAGAGATCTGAACTAGTGACATTGCCATTCTTTGTGACCCCAATTGAACAGTACAAGCTAGTTATGATATAGGAATATGTGCTCTTGAAATTGAAAACTAGATAAATTGCTGCAGTAGATGTGATCAATACCATACAAGGAGGAGGTCGAATGTGCAAACCTTTTGCTCCATCATGGCTACAGATAAGTTAAGGTACCTCATATGCCTGCTCCTGATATTTTTTATACTGTTTCAAACATAATTTTATTATAACAAAAATGACCAATCTAGGTATAGTTTATTCGAAACAATTGTCTTGTCAGAAACATAAAGAACATACCATTTCATTAGGCCAAATAATTGAACCATCATAACCAAAAACTGATTCTATGCCATTTTTTCGCTTAATAGTTATTCCAAGGTTCTAAAGAAGAAATATCTAAATCAACAGCCTTGTCTATACAGACATAACAGACAGTCTGTCCTTTCTTTTTTTTTTCTTTCTAAAATGATCCTACAGGCAGAGTCCTTCCCTTCCAATGAAGAGAAAGATGCAGGATGGAGGTCTCTGTCAATCATATGTACAAAGTCATTCCTTTATTTTTCTACATAAGCTTCAAGTTGCGAGATTCGATGTCCAACGACCAGGTGATATGCTTTCGATTACCAGTTACCCCAACACATTCCCTCTTGAATGGAGTTCCAAACACCAGCTTCAAAGGAAGATTTCCATTTTTATCCACGACGTCAAAGGCTGGCTCAAGCCCCAAACAAAGGCAGGCACCTAGTTCCCTTGAAGGTTCACCGATTGGACTCGATTGCACTGATTCGGTTGATAGTATTCTTACATGGCAAAGAAAGTAAACATCGCAACATTCGAATAAATTCCAACTTTCATTTTCGTCTACTTAAATCGGTTTAGGATTTTGATTTCTTGATGCACTTTCTGAATTCTTCCAAAGTTTGAAATTAGTTAATCTTACGTGACCGGTAGCAACAGAATTACGGGGGTGCATAAAACTGACAGGGGGGGGGGG